CAACGAACTATGCCCTTGTGTGTTCATTAAAAAACCACATTCCGATTTTGTGATAGTTGCAATATATGTCGATAACAAGAATTTCATCGGAACTTCTGAAGAGCTGGTGAGAACTGCCGCGCACCTAAAGTTGGAATTTGAGATGAAAGATTTAGGAAAGACTCGATACTGTCTCGATCTCGAGATAGAGCACTGTTCAGATGGAATCTTAGTACATCAATCGAACTACACCCATAAGGTGTTGCACCGCTTTAACGAGGATAAAACAAAGCCTTCGAGTACTCCTATGGTCGTTCGATCGCTAGATGCAAAACGAGATCCCTTTCGTCCGAAGGAGAATGATGAAGAGCTTTGGAGCCTGAAGTTCCTTATCTAAGTGTGATAAGCACTTTATTGTACTTAGCTCAATGCTCTAGACCCAGCATTTCCTTTGCTGTTAATCTTTTGGCAAGATGCAATAATGCACCAACACGCAAACACTGGATTGATGTTAAAGACATTTTTCGCTACCTTAAGGGTATTACGGATTTGGGCTTGTCTATCCCTATGGATCCTCGAGTGATGCCGCACACCCTGTATCTCGAGTCAATTCTCACCTTGTTGGTTATGCCGACACATGATACTTATCTGATCTGCATAAAGCATGTTCTCAAATGGGTTATGTCTTTATCATTGGAGGCACTGCAATCTATTGAAGGTCAACTAAACAGATCTTAGTTGCCACTTGGTCTAACCATACTGAAATTCTCGCCTTACACGATGCAACTCGAGAATGCTTTTGTTTGAGAGCAGTTGTGGGCCATATTCGAAGCTCCTGCCATCTTTACTGCAACATGCATCGAACAGCTCAAGAAGGGTTACATCAAAGGAGACAACACCAAGCACATTAGGCTGAAGTTCTTCTTCTCACATCAACAACAAGAGCATCAAAAGATTAAAGTCACGCAAATTTGTTCACAAGACAATCTGGCCGACCTCTTCACCAAATCACTCACTGAAGGCGATGTTTCAGAAGCTCGTCGAAGAAATTGGTATGTGTAAACTTTCGAAGTTGTAACATTGCTAGTTCTCTTTGGAATTGTGTCAAACTCAGGGGGAGTATCCTGAAGTATACTTGCTTGATCTTAATGTACTTTTTATCCCTATGATTAGGAGCATTTTTCCCATTGGGTTTTTGCTACTTAACGAGGTTTTGACGAGGCACCCACCTTGGGTTGATCATATCCCTGATGATGTCCTGTAGACGTTTCATTTGACTTTGCATTTCTTACACATTTTTCCTTAGACTATGGGTTTTGTCCCTACTTGGATTTTTACCACAGCCATAGGATTTTTTGTGAGACTTACTTTCCTTATGCAAGTTCCTACCTTATTAAGAAAAGTGTGTTCCCAGAATCAGTGCCGACAAGTCGACTTCCTCAACCTTTACATGATGCCGAATTTACTTGAGTATTTACACACTCAAGGGGGAGTGTTATAAACTTCTTTTTAAGTGTGATTGTGTAAATCCTAAATTAGATTTTATTCTAGTATTCTTTCCTATTAGGACTTGTATTCCTTGAAGGAGAAGGATTTCTTCTCTCTTATTACTATAAATAAAGGCACTGCGTAGCGGGAATAACACTCATCCTCTATACAACCCTATAAACACATCTCTCTCTTTCTCTCTCTATTCTCTCTCTGTGCCGCCGACCTCCTTCTCCCATCAGTTAAATATAAGCCACAACATTGCTAGCATTCTCTTTTATCTTTTTTTCTTTACCACAATTAATTCATGAACTAAATTGCAATCACAGGACACAAGGGCCGGCATGGAGTAGTGTATCACATAGTCAGTAGTGTCCGCATAAATAGTGACAGCAAAACATATTGAAAAACACAGCTGAGACATGTTAATCTAGATTCTTGAAAGGTTACGCTTGCAATTGCATGCAGCTGAACGTATTGTCTCCAACTTGTTAATTACGACCTGCATAATTCGTTAGGTGTGAGATTTTATCAAAAAAAGTCTTGGTATTAGTTGAAGTGGGATTAAAATATTTAAACTCTTATTCTCTCAAAGGTACAGTCGATGTGAGAGATTTTAACACGCATAAGCCAATTTAAACAAGTGCTTCGATTTCCATTTTGACACCAAAATAAGGCTAGGGCTAAATTAAAATTATTTCTACATAATTGTAATCAAACCAGACAAAATTATCTTTACAAATTAGCTAAAAATTAAAATTTAGTTTGTCATCTAATTGTAATCAAATAAGTCAAACAACACGTAGTTTTCATTCAAACACCAAAATAATATAATCAAAAGTTGACTGTTGTTAAATCGATCAAAAAATTAGTTGAATGTTATTAATTTTATTGATATTTTGCAGAATAAATTATAGTTTAAAACATAGACAATTTTGATCATGAATCATGAAGGTTGTATATTGAATTTCAGCCTCTCTTTATCATCCCAGTGCTTTGATTTGGGGTTAGTGTTGGAAATGTGCCCTAAAACCAATCATATGATGATACTTTATGGACATTTCACATGTTAAACTAATCTAGTTTAATATTAAGGGCAAACATTATTGTTTGAGCCGTCTCATATAAATGTTATATGCTTAAACGATAAGTCCAAGGAATATGTGATTGGAAGAATGCGATCTAAAGAAGTTAGATTCATGAGACCATTCTTTCGTTGACACATCCTAAACATTCCTGATCATAGGATTGTCAATTGGGCATTGACAGTCCGTTAAGATCAGTACGTGCTATGTCTTCTCTCAGGGAGAGTGACTAGTCTCGAGTCATTGGTGTGTGTGACATTAAGACAAGTACGTAGGTGCTCAATAGAGAATGAGTTCACTGAACACGATCAACGAAGAGTTCTCATATTCATGTCACATGAGAACTCATGGTTGGGATAATGCAAATTAGTCTTTTGACCTGAGGCATCACAGTTGTCTTGTGGTTAGGTCCTTAATCTTTGATTATGTCAAAGTCACTCCATCATGAGGGTGTCCATGGCATCGTTGGGGTTAAGCCACTTAGCCATGGAGGTAAGTGAATGCGCAACAAGGGATCTCTAACCTTCAAACTGTTTGAGGGAGAATACTCTATGATATGATTAAGAATCTTTGGCCAAAGTATGAATGAGATTTAGGAATGTGTTCCAAATCACATTCAAGGTAATCATATAAGCACAAGACTCACATTGGATAGTAGACATGAATAAACTATCAAACCAAACAATGTGGTCAAGAGTATTGTATTAGAGAAAGACCGTATTGCATTTGTAATCCTAAAACTGAATAGGTTCTCCACCTCTTCTGATTAGCTTGGGTAACCATGACATGTTGCTAGGCGTCAACCATGGTTTGTGGAAGCCCTAAAAGTGTATTATCACTAACGGGAGAATTGAAAGTAAGTTTCAATTCACAATCGATTAGAAAGAGTTTTAATCGCCCATTGCCTCGCTAAAAGGAACCTAATGGATCGTTCACCGAGTAAGGTAGAGTTTGAAGAAACAACGGAGATGAGTAAGAATAATTAAATGGTTTAATTATTTATCAAAGGGTAGGATTAATTAATATGTTAATTAATCAAACGAATAAGTTCGTTAAAGACCTCGGGTTAATTTTGGGCCGCAAGGCCCAATGGGATTTGAATGTCAAGCCCATTAACTCAAGTTGTATGACAACTTGAATAAACAAAGGGCTTGAAAGCCCAATAAACCCTATAGGCTTGCCATGTTAGAAGAATAGGGCTTTTGGTCCATTAGGTCACTTATTTGAAGGGACTATATAAAGGACTTTATAGCCTAAAATTTACATATGGTAATTTTTGGGGAAAGGATGAGAACACAAGCTCTCCTTTCTCTCTAAAATTTAGGCCACCTTGGAGGGATCATCTAGCAATCAAACTCCTCCAAGGTCACTCATTTCTTCTTCATTATGCCTTGGTGATGAATCATTAGAGGTTCTCAATTTTGGGAACTTGGAGAAACCTTTTCATCCATCCAAATCCATGGATCTAAGATGCAAGGAATGAAGGCCCTCTCTTTGGGTGATTAGCCTTTGCTTATGCAAAGAGGAATCTACAAAGGTATTGATTTCTCAACTCACTTTGTTTTGAGTTGAGTCTTGGTTCACCTATCTACTAGGCTTTGAATTTCATGGGTAAATGTTTTGTTTTTAAGTGCATACAAGCATGATTCCGCCTTTAATTGTTAATTGCATGCTATTGATGTTGCTTAAATGAACATGTTTTTCACAAATCTTCCTTCAGTCAGTACATGAAGATTTAAGGTCATTTCTTTAATTTATTCTCCATTTCTAAGTTTCCAAGATCGTAACTTTAGCAGCGTAATATTATGATTAATTTTATAAGTTTTATGTACAGAAATTGTACTTGCACGTAAGTCACGAAGAAATGGAAGAAAATGAAAAGGAAGATAAAAGATATTACTTGTACGTAGCCTAATTGGACAAATTATCTATATACTAAAGCTCAGCAGAAAACCACTGTTCATCCTTTGAGAGTGAGCACTGCTCACCAACAGTGAAAGGGTGGAACTGCCCTCAGTTTTTGTTTTGGTCCCCATACGGTTCACACTTTGCTACAATAAGAAGTCCATTTTGTCCTTTGCAGCCTTGCGTCTCTCATCACCATGTACTTCCCTCTATTGCTACATCCGAAACCTTTGAAAAAAAAAAGCCAAAAGAAAAAAAACCACCCACGAAAGAGATAATAAATGCGAAGACCCACATGTTGTTCATTCCCTTCCATTTGAGAAAAAGACAGGAAAACAGGGATGCCATTGCCATTGCAGTTGCGTGGTGGTAGTAACGAAGGCCCGTTCCTCGAAAAAGGATAATAAATGCGAAGTGGCAGAAAATTAAGATTAAAGTAATGGGCTATTGACAAAAAATTAAGATTAAAAAAAAAATGTTTGTAGCACCAAAAAGGATAAAAAAATGATATAGATATTGGTTAGAGAGAAAAAAAAATGATTAAAAAAATATGAAAAAATGGTTTGGTGTGTTTGGTTTTTGTTTTCTAATATTTTCTCTTTTAGCATACCAAGGAAATTGATGGGCAGCTTTGAGTGCACTGGACGAAACCCTCCACGTGTTGATTATCGCTATAAGTTTTGCTTTTCATTTGTTTTGGTTTTTTATTTGCCTTTCACTTCCATCCTTTTCGACGCTTTCTGCCGATGGAATGCCCTCCATGCGTTGATGATCGCTGCACGTTTTCTTTTCCATTTGTTGTTTCTTTCTTTGGCTTTCACTTCTCCGTTTGTCATTTCCATTTTCTATCTATTTTATGCTTTCTTTCTTTCATTTTCAGCTTTGGTTTTCTCTCGGCTCTCTGCATCGTGGAATTTTCTTGCAAATTGTTAACGGAGTTGGTTGTGTTGTTTGGAATTATAGGTACAAGTTTGTTTTGTTGTAAATTGGTTTCATGTTGAAATTTTGCTTTCTTTCTTATTTTGGTTGTTCATTTTGTAGTCTGGGGTTTTATATCTGCCTGTCTAACCCCTTTTTGTTTTCGGTTTTAGCAAATTCAGCTTTCTTGGGTTTTGTTGCTAGGTAATTAAGGGTGTAAGTTTGTTTTGTTCTTTGCTTCAGTCTTGATACAATCTTTTGGCATTTTTATATGTTTTGGAATTGTGATGATTAAGTTATGTTTTGAGATTTTTTATTTTTTTTAGTTGTCATTTTGAGGTTTAATTTTATAGTCTTGGGTTCAGGTTTTTACAACTTTATGCAAACCAAACTTACCCCCTCTCCACATCAGCCGCATCTGCTACCGCCATGATGCTCCAGCACCAGCTCATGCTGTCCAGATCAGGCACCACCGACTCCGACTTTGGTCCCATGCGATTGTCTTTGGGAAACAACGGCGACTTTGACCTCCCCAACAACAACGTCGGCGACGGCTCCTCCTTCAAATCCCCAATTAAGTGGTGAGTATCTCTCTCCATCTCTCTATGCATGGACTAACTGATGGTATAAATGTAAATTTACAATGGTGAACTAATGGAGTGGCATAAATGTAAATACATTATTTTACAGGGAGGCGATGGGGCTTCTCCTGTGCAATCCCTGCTCGATGGCTTCGGTGTATCACTGCCGGAGCTGCTAATTCTCAGTCTTCAAATTTTCACCACCCTCGGCATGCGGAAGACGTCTTTGTTAAAGGTGATAATTTTGGCTACTGGCTTTTGTGTGTTGTTATAGAGTTGAATTGAATTTATTTTTTCTTCTAAGAGTTAATGTTATGTATGATCTCTCTCTTGGTTATTTTGTTTTTTTTTTAATTTGGCTTATTGGTGTTATACCGTCTGCTTCGTTAGTAGGAAGGTGTGTGAAAAGGGCGTGTATATTTCGCCTGTGGATTTGGTCTTTTTATTGTTGGATTTTGTTGTTTTCAGATTTTATTTATTTATTTTAAATTTTTTTTGCAGATTTTGTTGTAACATGCTGTGTAGAGAGATTCAAAGAGTATTGCCATAACATGTTGAATTTAATCACCATATGTTGATATACTTTATAGGAATGAATGTTCCATTTCTATGCATTTGTTTAATACTGTTAAGTGTAAAGTGGCACAAAATTTGGCGATAATTATAGGGTGCATGAGTTATAATTGAATTTTGGCTTCCAAGTATAAGGATAAGTCATTTGTCCATTTAGTAATTGTTGTGATTCTAGCTATACCCCCACATTAAGCAAATTGGAAAAATAATGGATAAATTTCTTACATGATGTTATGTTTACAGTAACTATGTTCATTAGGAACAAGAATTTCGTCTTTTGTATTACAAATTGAACCCCTGTTGGATAGGTGAGGTGTAGGAGTTTAATTTGTATTTTTTATTTAGTGTATCTGATGACAATTCAGGTTTGATAAATTTTAGGTTATTCCAATATTACTTGAGCTTTTTTTTTTTTAATTGCTCATAAAAAATTGCATCCATTTTGAATAATTGAAATGGAAGCTGTGAGGCCAACTCCTCTGGATCAGTTTCAACTCATCTACTCTAATTTATACATTTTTGTGATTTCGGATTTGTACATGAATTGAAATTTAATTTTTCTGATTTCAGCTCTCATTGGGATCCTTACTCTCCATCATTAAAATCCTTTTTGTGTGATATTCTCCTCCAGGCACGGTTGCTAATACACAAACCGTCAAGGTATTTCATTCAATTATATATATTGTACATGTGTGTATTGCGTTATACATGTGTGAGTATAAATTTGTTTTTAGTAGGTTGATTTAATTAATGAGGTTTATTTTAATTTCAGGTTAATTTGGTTTTGTTAAACTAAAGACATTAGACGAGTGGAACCGGCTGTGTGTTTAAAGAGGTTGGTTTCTCAATATTTTCATTTATGTTCTTTTAGTTGTTTGAATTGACTTTGTATAATGTAAATCAAGCTTAACTTAATGGCTGTATTTCTATATTGTATTTGGTTTGTCTATTTTTTTTTTTTTTTTTTTTTTTTTTTTTTTTGCTGAAAAATGTAATTTGGTTTTGTAGATCAATGTTTTCCGGTAGGAAAATTACCTTGGAAATAAAATTTAAATACGAACAGTTAATTTAGGATTTTGAGTTCATCTTTTGTTTTAGTACATTTTGGTTCTAAGTGTGATATAGTGTGTTGTAATCTTTATTTAATTGTGATTTTGTATATTTTAAGTGGTGGTTTGGATTTTGAAGAGTGAGAAAACGGTCTGATGGGTTTTAGAGGAAAGGCGGATAATTTAACAGGAGTTTGGAAGCGGAAGAACGAATATGGAGGGTGTGGACTAAGGGGACTAAGGGGACTAAGAAGAATTAATATGGAAGTGCAAGAAGCAAAGTGGAAGGGATTGTAAACAGAGATTTCTGTGTTTGGGTATGTTTTTGTTTTGGATTGAAAACTCGCCAAGTGATTTAATTCGTTTGTTAAAAATTTTTCTTTTGGCACAACATAATACAGCTGCCCATATGTAGATATTGGAACTGCTTTTTTCTTGGTTATCGAATAAATTGTCTCTTATATGGCTACCTAATGTTTTCGTTTTCTTAATTGATGAAGGGGAGGTAGAAAATAGAAGTTTTTATTTATTTGTTAAGAAAATATAAGAGAAGCAATGTCAAGAACTTATTGTACATATTATTAAACTTAACAGAGTAATGTGTTTATTTCATTGTATAGATCTTATTTAATGTAATATTCTTTATATATATATATATATATATATATATATATATATATATTGTTTTTAACATTTGCTTTTGTCTATACATTTGATTCAAGTGTTATTTTGTGTTTTTAACAGTTTTAGCCATTCATGTTTCTATTTGGATCAGGACAATTTAATTGAAACAACCCTTGGTAGCAGTGTATCATCACGGTGCAATGTTGGTTAGACATCTGTTCATTTCACTAAATTCGAGTTTACGGTTTTTTCAAACATTTATATATACAATTTCTAATCCTGTAACAACGCACGGTTCAAATTTCTAGTAAAACCCTAATCATCGCATTAGTACGGTGTACGGTATTCAAATTGTAAGTGACTTCTCTTTCTCCAGAAGGTACGCATCTGTGATCTACCTCACCTGAAAATACGTAGCCAAAAATCATATTAAAATCAAAAAAGCCGTCGAGACATGCAGAGATTCCCTCCTTCAAAGGTTATGTAACGGACGCTGATTACGATTGAAAGGGACGGCCTACTAGTCGGCTATATTGGATTCTTCTTCCGACCCGGCCCACAACTACGCATTGAACGTCCTGATGAAGCCAAGTGGCAGAGTGGGGCCCACGCACATTGGAAGGGTTGAAATCGATATGCACGAGGTGGGCCCCGTGTGATTTGAATAATCATCAGACGGTCGGTTGGATACGGTAGAGTACACGGACTGACGGTACGGAAGCTGACTGCGGCAGCTTCGTGCTTTGTGCATCTGTTGCATCGTCGTACGTGCTTTGGCCTTCCAGGTTTCGTCGGACAAGTGGAACCGTGCGTTGATTGTCGTTTAACTCTAACGCATTTGACTAACTAAAGGAGGGACACAGTAAAATAGACTATAGAACAAAATCATATGGACAAAATCGCAAAAATAAAGATGGTTCTGAACCTATTATATAATTATTATTATTCAAATAGCACGGTAGTATCCCCTTGTCTTTCTATCTAAGGTTTTCAATTGATATATATATATATATATATATATATATATATATGTGTGTGTGTGGACATTCATCTATTTTATTAAAAAGAACTAACAACAAAACGTTATGCAATTGAAATTTTAAAAGAAATGATGAAGACACACCTCATTTAATTTTGCACACATATTTGTTCAATCATATCCGTAGTTGTGCTTTGATTTATCCTATGTAAATCACCGCCTTGAAAGTATTTTCCTTTTGTTATATTTCCCTTCATTCCTTGTGGAGTTAAGATGTGTAAGTCACAATAAGTTAATGATAAACTAACGGAAAAAAATAGATTGTGCATTTCATATGGCATTTTTCTTGAAATAATTGGTAATTAAGCATTTGTGACCGTTGAACTTGATACATGAATTTGCAAATTCAGATACTATAAAAGATCAATTGAAAATCTATAAACGCACTAGCAGAAATAACGTTTACTAACACAACATTGGGTTTCCTTCTTTTCCATTTTATGAGTATTTTATTCTCATGCAAGAACCAAACTACTTTATCCTCAAGCTCCAAAATTGCAAAAAACTATTTTTAGGGTTTAAGGGGAATGACTCACATCGACAAGGAACCAACTCCTTTTCTGTGTTGTTGTTGTAGGTGGTGCCGAACCGCGAGGTTAGGGTTAGTTATATTACCTAAAACAAGACATATCCGTTTCAAAGAATCCAAGAGGAAGGTTATGGGATTGTCATTTAGTATTAAAGTTTAGTGGGATTCCTCTTTACTTGTAAGTGAGAGGTCTTAAGTTCGATTTTTGCCAAAGATGAATTTGAACCACATTATTGTGAGGCTAAGTCTACCTCCTTCTCTTTAGTATAAGATAATATTGTTTGTTTAAACAAAAAAAATAGATATGAGGTTGATCTCACAAGTTATTGGTAGCTAGGTTAATTTATTGCTAGAAAATGAAAACACCTGATGGTTCATACGAGTAGGGCACCAGAATTATAAATTTAGATCGTGTAATGTAGGCTGTACCCGCAAGGTACTTTGAGTCTGACTTGGTCTTCTTCCGTCTTCTAGGAGTGTAACATTTTTTTTCCAAGGGGAACGTCTTGTCCACGATTCAGCAGCTTCTTGGAAACCAACGTGTTGAATTGGGAGCTCAGATTTTGACTTTCTGATCTAAACATTTCTACGTATGTACTGGGAACATGAGAGGTATACAACGTTTCAATATAAGTAGATATGACAACTAACGTACCAACTCATGCATACTTTAAGTACACTAAAAATCTCTTATTAATTTCAGGTGTATCTTCATTAATTGTCTCGTAACATTTAGTATTTTTAGCCATTTGATTTGATTCTACAACTATTAGATTTCCAATTTTCAATCTCAATCTTTCACTTTTCATATTTCTCAGTATTACGTACTATTAAGAAAAATTGATAAGAGTTTCTTTTTCCATTTTTTAGTCAATTGCTCTGATCTAAATTGAAAAGTATGGAATAGTAGGTTTAAGGGTCGTCTCTTTGATAAGTTGACGCATCCAACCGCCCAACACAAACCCTACACTTAAGGTTCAAGGGTTTTCCTCACGCGTTGGCTTAGTTGATGATCGACTATCGTTGGATATGAATGGATTCTCGTTCTACTTACACAGCTTGTTCAAACAATTAACACATCATAGTTTTATTTATTTATTTTGAGTAAAACGATATATTTTACATTAAAAGAAGGAGAGAGTTCGGCTAAGTCATACAATGAGCAACCTAATTTGGTATCGAATTCACCATCCACGAGATTCGAACCTAAGAGTTCTCACTTACAAGTGAAAAGGAATAACACTATACCATAGTACTGAGTGGCATCATTGTTTTATTAATTTCTGTTCTTGTAACACATATACTTGCAAGTGTTTTTTGTGTAGGTAAGTAATATCATGCGGATGTGTGATTTCATAAGCAATAACATATCTTTTCTTAAGTACCTGTTTAACAAGAAATAATACGTTTATTCCAAAGGTTACATTTGTAGACGACATTGTGGGATGGGTTGATAATTAAGACAATGCCATGTAATGTGGTTTAACAGTGTGATTAATGATTATTAGAGAGTAAACCTATGAGACTTTCACGTCCAAGCTTTCTCACACACGCAAATAAGGTCTACATTCTCAGACGCCAATTACATGGGTATATGTTGACCTTAAAACAAAAGGAGTTGACACAAGTATAAGTATTTGTATAGTATAGCTATATATATATATATATATACTTTTTAAGGATGCATACTTTTCAAGAATTAAGGGTAAAATATTGTGTAAAAATTGAGTATGTGACATGTGAGAAAGAAACTTCTTTCTAATAACAAATAATAAAGTAAAGCATCTCACTAGAATGGATAAATTACACATAACTTAGTTGAAACTTTCATCATAAACTCAGCAGAAGTCTTATTGAATTTAAACTAATATTTAACCGAAATATCGACGAAATCTATTGATTGTAACCAAAATTTAAGAGTTTTCCGATATAAGATGAAATCTCCCTTTTCTATATCTTTCTTTGATTTTTCTAATTTTTCCAATAGTTTCACAAAAATACCGACCATATCTAAGAAATTTCAAACATCATAAAACACATACTCTCTTTGAATGATTTCTCTCATTCATCTTGTATAAAATTCGTAGTTCTATTAAATTAGCTGACCAAAATATGTTAACAACGAAGAAAAGGAGGAACTACTTATTCGAATTAATTTGGGGGAGTCTCTTGATAATTAATCTAATTAAGACTGATAACAAACTTAAACCATAATTAGGACTAATAACAAACTTAAACCATAAGAGTAAGATGGGCAAAGCCATGTGATGCAAACTACAATGATCATTTCCAATTCCAACTTTTTTCAAGGAAATTCAAGTCCTTCCCTGCTTGCACTTTCCTTCCCCGCTTGCACTTGCTCTCCTCCTTCCCTTCGTACAGATTTGAATTCGTAATATTCTCCTCATTTGAGTCATTTTCCGAATCATATTTTATATATATATATATATATATATATATATATATATATATATATATATCACTCTCTTCTCCTCCCAAACAATCTTTATCTCAATCCTCACCCAGCACCAGCACACCAAAACCAGAACTCAAAACACACACCCAGCACACCAAAACCAGAACTCAAACACACCCACCAAACCCTCATAGATCATCACCAAGAGATCAAATTCAGCTCAATTTTGTTCACTTTGAAAGAATAGTAGCTGGTGATCGAGTCCTTGTGTATAATTCTGCTTGCCTTATCGTTTTTTATCTTGTGTCCTCTCTTTGTTCAACATAATCATATTTTTTTTTGCTTCAAAAACACAATTTCAGCTGCATCTCAAGCCCAAATAGTACAAATTAAGCATTTAGGTATTTTATATTTTAATGAAATACCCTAAAAGCTTGTGTAGTTGAACTGCGAAAGCCAGACCATGTCTAATATCCCCACCTTTCTCTCTGAAATCTGCTTAACCCTCTCTCGTCTCGCCATGTCCGAGGCCGACCCATGGCCATTTTCTTGAAGCAAATCACTCTCTAGCGACAACCCAATTCACTTCTCAACACGAATTTCAAAACCCAAAGCACAGATTTTCCTCTTTTTTCCCCCAGAAACGATGGCAAAATTCAGAGGATTCAAGCTCGGAAAGCGCCTTTGCCCGGTCATCCGGTGGTTCTTTGTCCGTACGACCCGACACGAATATACCCGGCTCAACCCGGGTTCTTCCTCCTCAGCTTGCAGCTACAAACCCATGTCGAAGCTGCTCACGTGGGGCCGGAAGCTATCCGCCGGCGCCAAATCTCTGTGCTGCAGCAAATCCGGGTCGGGTTACAAGCAGTTGGGTCAAAACCCAGTTGAGAAAAACAAGCCTGTTACGGTTCCGAAGGGACATCTGGCTGTATACGTGGGCCAAAAAGACGGCGACTTTCAGAGAGTTTTGGTGCCCGTCATT